GGATTACAGGTGTGAGCTACTGCACCCGGCCGCATTCCAACTTTTCTATCTCTCTTCCCCATCTCTTCTTCCCTTGCCCAGCCATCTTTCATTTTTATTTTTTCCTCCATCTCTTTCCTTCCTTTCACCACTTCCTTTATGTTTTGTGTCTGTGTCAAGCCCTCTCCACCATGCTTTTTATTGGTGGTGGGTCGATTGCAGTAATGGCCTCAATCAATGGTTTCCTTCTGCCCAGTACCTCTGCAGTCCTCTCCCACTCAGACTCCAGGCTCAATAATATGGCAAAAGAGGACAGCAGCAAACTTGAAGCAAAAAACAAACAAACAAACAAACCTTAAAAAAAAAAACTGCTTACTGCTTCCTTTCTTGAACCCTTGCTACAGCCAAGAAAATATTTGCTGCTGGTCTTCTGCAGATATATACAAGACACATGAAGGATTTTTTTTTTTTTCTTTTTTGCACCAGAAGTTATTGTTGCCTAGCCAGCTCCCAGCCAGTCCACCAGATAACCGCTTACACATTCAGAAGCTCAGCTGAGATCAGCAGGGTCCAGCCCATAACAGTAGAACCAACAAGCTGATCCATAGGCATCTTGTGAGAAATAAGAAATGGAGTTGTTTTAAGCCACTATATTTTGGAGTGGTTTATTACACAGCAGTATCAACCAGTACATCCTCTGTTAAATATCAAATAGCCAATAGAATAGAATATGGGTGTTTCTCCATAAAATAAGGTAGTATTGCTCATCCTAATTTTCTGGGAATCAGATAAATGTGTATTTTTAAGACATTGGGTCTCACTGTGTTGCCCAGGCTGGAGTGCAGTGGCATGATCATAGCTCACTGCAGCCTCAAACACCTGGGCTTAAGCAATCCTCCTGCATCAGCCTCCCTAGTACTACAGGTACACATCATCATGCCCAGATTTCAGATAAATATCTAATTCTAGGTACAATTCAACTTGAAAGATTGGAATGTTCCAGTAGAAAAGTTTCATTTTCTGCAGCATTTTTTTTCATTCTTCTATATCTCTTTAGTTCATTCTTTTGTCTGTGTGTAGATTCATTTAACATGAGGAAAATTTAGCCAAAACAAAAACGGATAGCTTCATGGCGTACAGTTTTCTATCACTGAAAATTATCTGACATGACAAACCCTCTAGGAAGATCACTATAAATGATCTTTGATTCTTCCAGTTATCAACTTAAATTTTTTTCAAATGATTTTGACTTTTCCAAGCTTCAACATATAAATTGTTAACAACGATACAAACTCTAACGATAAGGGTGAAATACTCTACCTATATGTAAAGAGAGCAGAAGTTAGGTAGAAATCATCATTTGCGGTCAAGAGTTATGCTTTAACTTGTTGCCAGTTTTTTAAATGTACATATTCATGGGTTAATGATTTCTGATTACTGCATCTGTCAAACCACTACTACCATATAACTCTGAGTCTTAATATAATTGCGAATTATCGAGTAGAAAATAGATTCCTAAGAATGACGTCTACTACATATAAATTATTTTCCCCAAAAGGCATACACATTGTCCATGCTGTTTGATAAGACAGAATCCATTCATTCATTCATCAGATATTAATTGGATATATTTTCTATATTTTTGTAGGCACTAGAATTACAGCAGACAGGGATACAAAGACCCTTCTCTCACAGAGCCTACATTCTAGACAACAGGGACAGGCATTAAAACAAGCGAACGTAAAACCTATAGCATACTAGAAGGTGGTTAGTACCAAGGAGAAAACTAAAACAGAGTAAAAAGATAGAGAGGAATGGGGGTCTCTAGGAGAAAAGAGAGTCACAGAAGCTCTCTCTGAGAAGGTGATTTTTCAGCAGAAACTCGAAGTAAGAGAATCTGTCATGTGGATATTTGGGAAGCAACTGTGGGTAGATGCGCTGGCACATGTAAAGGGCTTGACTGAATTGCTTTTGGTGTATTTTAGGAGTTAAAGGGTTATCTCTACAGCTGGAGCAGAAGTACCAAACAAGAGTGTCAAAGGCAATGGGAGGTAGCAGGGGCAGATCACAGGGAGCGTGTATTTCTTGCAAGGCATGACAGTGACACTGGATTTTAGTCCAAAAGATACAGAAAGATTTGGGAGGTTTTGAGCAGAGGAAAGGACATTCCTTTATTTTGGGAAAATATCACACTGGCTGCTGGTAAATCAAGACTGCAGAGGGACCACGGGAGCCAGAGAAACTAGTTAGGAGGGTATCACAGTTTTCCAGGTAACGTGCCGTGACCCACCCCAAAGTGGTAACAGTGGTGGAAGTGAACAGAGGCCAGATTCTGGAAGAATTATGTAGGCACTGCTATCGACACTCCCCATAGATTTAATAAGGACAGTGAGGGACAAAAGGAGAGTAAAGGATACCAGGAAGCCTTTTGGTTTCAGTAGCAAGAGCAATGAAACGGTGTTTTCATCAGGAATGTGAGGTTGTACAACTTCAGGGGACTGACTCACGTCACGGTCTATCAGAAGCGTCCTTTGGATATGCAGGGAACATATGCAGCTCTCAAGAGCAGTCCTCAAACATTCAGAGACCAGGAGAGGAAGCACTGGAGACGGATGATCACTTTATGGCAAAACCACTGGTTTCACATGCTCTCTATTAAAATTTCGTAGAGCTTGTGAGTAAGAGTCCAGGATTTCTAAAACTGTACTCTTTGTCCTGATTAAATATTAAAATGAAAATTTACAAGAAACTTTCAACTCCTTATATTTTCCTAGAAGCCACTCAAGGCTTTTATGAAATCATTACATGCCAGATTTTGCCAAGTGAATTACATGCCCAATGTCATCAAAGATTAATGAAGAAAAGATGAACAATTCCAGACTTTCTCTAAAATTTCCTATGGAACATGTCTGCCTCTCCACACCTGATATTTTCCTATCTTTCTTACCTTGCCTTCTTGCACTGTAATCTCTTTAACTTCAAAATATTACAGGCAGTCAAGTAAGGAGGCCGTGTGAGCTCTCTGTGAGCAAGTGAGACCACTCTGCTGGGTCCTCTGTCAGCATAAAATTAGAGACTGTATTATTAAAAGGTACATTTAAAATGAACTATTTAAAAATTTTTATTTTATTTATTTATTTATTCTATTTTATTTTTTTTGAGACAGAGTCTCATTCTGTTGCGCAGGCTGGAGTGCAGTGGTGCAATCACAGCTCACTGCAGCCTCAACCTCCAGGGCTCAAGTGATCTTCCTGCCTTAGCCTCCCGAGTAGCTGGCTATTTTTATTTTTTTTTATTTTTATGTTTTGCAGAGACAGGGTCTCATTACGTTACCCAGGCTGTAAAATGAACTTCTTTTTAACTAACAACAAAGAGATTATGTGTGTGTGTGTGTATGTATAAACAAGCTAATTAGAAGTATAGCCAGTATTGGGCAAATTAGCACAAGAATGAACATGTTGTTGTCACGATCAACAATTTTACAGAAGACTCTGTATTTAGAAGGGTATGAAGTGCCAAAGTCAATGAACATATGGACCAAAAACACGTCAAACACCAAAGCTTTCAAAACTTTGATTACGGGAAGCTATTTTCTTATCCTTTCTACAAGTTTATATTCATCCTCAAAATGTCTCGTGAGTCATCATGAGATCCTGGGGATGTCAGGAAGCCAAACTGAAATAATAAAAACTCTAAACTACAGAAGTTTTTTTTAATTTTTAAAACAGTGTAGCTTTATTGTTTTCAAGTGTCTATAACAGTTGCCTTCTTGAGAGTAAAGCAAAGCTGAATTTTAACTGGGCCTCTGTATGATCTGTATTGAATCGCACACTTCTGGCGAATTGATTTTACAATTACATTCTCTCCACAGGATAGAAATAAAAGGAGCTTTCACACTGGCTAAAATATGCTTCCATTGTGACCCCTAAAAGCATTCATGAATAATTATTTTAAACAACAGTATAATTTTTGCTCTATATAACAAGCTAGAGATAGGTTTATTACTTGGTATACATTTTTATATAACTGAGATATTAAAGCAAAGCAAAGTAAGCATAGAAGCAGAAAGTGGTTGCAATCGCTACACAAAATCAAGGCAGGAAAAGATGTCAGGGGTAAGCAAAAGTAGAGCAGAGCACACTGGCCTTTGGAAGGAGAGTCAAAGACAGAAGCTCCTCTCTTCTCCACTCTGTGGTATCTTTCTCCAGCACACAGGAACCCCACACAATCCCTTAAACCTGAGGTTCTTACATCTGTCTCTAAACTAGGGAGATAACAGCACGCCGCCTAAGTCATGGTTAATGGAATTTTATTTTCCTCTTTGTTCTGCCCTGAAAACATCACCAAAACATTCATTTGTTTCCATTACAGGCCCAGCTATCTATCCACTAGGAAGCACAGTATCTCAGCAAGTGTTTGATTGTATAGTATGTGTTCCAAGATGTGAATCATATCCTATCAAACCTTAACTGGAAAAGAATTACTCCAAACTCATTTTTTGTTTCCTTGCTAATCTGCAATATGGTGTTTAGTAGCTTAATATTAAAAACAACAGCAACAACAAAATCCCACAATAAACTCAAAGCTTTCTGTTTTACTCATTCTTGTCTGCCTGTAACCCTTAACTTTCTCCTTCATTTTACTTAAGTATCTGATCTGGCTTCAGTATTATCAGCAGTGAATCTAATTTTTAAGAGTCGTGATCTCTTTTATTATTATCAAAATAACAACTTGTAGCCCCAGCTACCTGGGAGGCTGAGGCAGGAGAATCAGTTGAGCCCAGGAGTTGGAGGCTGCAGTGAGCTATGATAATGCCATTGCACTCCAGCCTGGATGACAGAGCAAAACTCTGTCTCTAAAAAACAAACAAACAAACCTATAAAGTCCAAAATATTAATGCTGAGTTATCCGTAAACTACACTTGAATAGAAGGGCTTTCAGTTAAATTTGACAATGTAAAAATTCATTTGCTTTCTGGAGTATCAGTAACAATTTGCACAATTATTTCAACCCTTTTTTAGTGTACAGCTCCTGAACTCTCGTCTTCCAGGTATTGAGCAATGCATCTAACAGCATGAAAGTCAAGGTGAGCTATCATCAAACAATCAATTCCTAACATGCCTCCTGCCCCCATCTCCACAATCATAATCTGTAGAAAATCTGGAAGCAGTCAACTAACAGCATGAAGGTGATAAGTAAAATCCACCTCCACTTTAAAACAGAGGTTTCAAACTTCCTTTCTACACAAGCTACTGTGTGCCTCGGGCAAGAAAGAAGAAATTCATGAGGGAGAAATTGGAGGGTGCACGCTTTGAGTGAATTTTCCAGGCAATATTTGCAAGCAAAGGGCTTCCAGGGCTTTCTGAGTCCTCAAGGAAAAAATGCAAATCTACATTTTTACTTGAAATATTTTAATGTTTAGATGTTGGCAACATATCTGTTTTACAAACATATGTGTACACATAAAACATAAAAACATACACAGAGTAAAAAGTGTGCCCTCTGAGTTAAGACTGCTCACATGGAATTGGCACACGAAGAGTCTGAGCTTCATACAAAAGACAGTGACGCAGGGTGCCCACTTCAAGAAGCTTGTGCCATTGCACTCAATGTAGTCAAGACTCTGGTGTGGATTTTACCTGGGACAATAGCTAGATAAGGAAACTTACCTAAACATGGTTTTGGAATTAGACATCAAGAGAAAAGAAAGGAGATTAAAGAAAGTCTACACCCTGGGTTTGGGAGGGACACAAAAAATTAGCTAGGCATGGTGGCAGGCACCTGTAATCCCAGCTCCTTGGGAGACTAGGGCATGGGAGTCATTTGAACTCGGCATGCAGAGGTTGCAGTGAGCTGAGATCGCGCCACTGCACTCCAGCCGGGGCAACAGAATGAGACTCTGTCTTAAAAAATAATAATAATAAGTAAAATAAAATAAAATAAAATAAAATAATTTCCTCTGGGACATTGATCTTTCTACTTGGCTACTTTATTTATTTTTACACACAGGATTTGTCATTGGAACATTATCAAGGGAGAATAATCCAACTTACCATTTTCTTACACTAGGAAAAGTAAACAAAAAATTAAAATGTCAGGCGCTTCTATATGTGAGATAGCTAAAAAGTAAAATATCTCTACGAATGCAAATGAATTAGATCTCAAATAAAACTGTGTAGATAAAAGTTTAATACTTTAGTTGTTTAAAATACAGGGAAGTCCTATGATACAAAATATCTGTCCCTACATTTTCCTTAGAATTATTTCTTGAGAGTTTTAAATCAGTATTTTATTCTACCTGGTTTTCTTGTCCTTGTATTAGATAAATCAGTATTTTATTCTACCTGGTTTTCTTGTCCTTGTATTAGATATATATGTACGCATATATTATTCTTTTCTGCTCACACATTTATCAAATGTCTTGGATGTATATACTGTATTCACACAAGTATTCTCACAGACGTAGCAATAGTTACAGAAGGAAATTACCTTATATCTAAATGGTGGTGGTCTCACTGTTGCGTTCTTTTTGGCCTTCTCTAACTTTCTTGAATTACCTTTTTTCTATAAATTCCACAAGTTCAGCCAATGTTCATCTTTTAATGCTTTCCGGCTGCTAACCAATAGTGAAGGGTCATTACAGTTTAAATAAGAGAAATAATCTTCAAAGAATTTTTTTAAAAATGCATTAAGAGCCCCATTGAAACCTACAACTAATTGGCAATGGTGATTTATTAACTATGCATTCTTCCATAGAAGAAGCAAATGTGACACCAAGGAACATTAGGTTTAAACACTTAAATGGTAGAGTAGATTAAAAAGTGATTTTACTTCATAAACAGTAAAGTTCCTCTATATTGACCTCCTCTAAAATTTGCTGCTGAAGGAGATGGTAAAGTATTCAACCAAGAAAATGGATAGAACAGGCTGACTCCCGGGCTAAGCCTGCCTCTTCTGTGATTTTTCTCCTATTGCCATCTAGTAGGATTATATGACATTTTTATTTAAATTACCAGTTTCCTAACCTAGTGACTATCTTTATCCCTTACATAAGCTAATGAAAAAAAAAAAGGACCCGAGTTTGCAATTGACACAAAAAGAGTCAATCCATCCATAGTTTGTGTCCAGAGTGATTATAAATGCCAAGTATATAATGAGAATAGAGATAAAACAAGTCAGAGAAACTGCAACTTCTACAAAGTAAGAGTATTCTAGGATAGACAGCATCAAGGACTGTAAAGATCCTTATTTCAAATCTCCAGCAGTTTTGAAATACATTTTTTTTTTCTTTTTTGAAATAGAGTCTCCTTCTGTCGCCCAGGTTGGAGTGCAGTGGCATGATCTCTGCTCACTGAAACTTCTGCCTCCAGGGTTCAAGCATTTCTCCTGCCTCAGCCTCCTCAGTAGCTAGGATTACAGGCATGCACTGCCACGCCCAGCTAATTTTTGTATTTTTAGTAGAGATCGGGTTTCACCATGTTGGCCAGGCCTGTCTTCAACTCCTGACCTCGAGTGATCCGGCCTCCCAAAGTGCTCGGATCACAGGTGTGAGCCACCACGCCTGGCCACTGGAATACAATACTTTTTTGAGAATTGTTAGTTTCCTTGTTACATTATCAATAGACCAGAAATATTAGAGCCATATCTATTGTAATCAAGCAAAAAGTCATCACTATTTAATGGCAACTTAATATGAAGACGCCGAGATTTAGGGTTATAGCTAATTACTAACAGAATAGGAAAATGAGAGTTTGGTTGCCAAATTCCATGTATTTAAGAAAGGATCCATTTTTTGGCCTATGTACAGGTTCTTTCATTTAAAAAAATTAGAGATTAATAATATAAATGCTGCGGATAGGCAAACCTTCCCTTTGCTCCCAAGTGGCCATGATATGCTATGATATGATATGTTAGGCTATGGTATGATAATGACTGGCCAAGGAAGACTGTCAAGGATATCAAAACGAATGAATTGGTTCAGTCACTTATTGAAAAGGAAGTTTGTAAGAGGGCATTCTGGTACAGTAGCTAGGCCTTTGGGCTTTAGAGTCGTATTTCTTTGGATAAATCTTTATTCCATATCTTTAGAAAAGTTACTTAATGTCTCTGGGTGTTTCAGGTTCCTTTTCTGTAAATGTCCAAGGTAGCTATTCATGGTTTTTGTGAGAATTATACATAATTTATTTTAAATGCTTAGGTCAGTGGCTGGCATATATGAAGAGCTCAAGAAAAGCCAGATTTTGTCAACTTTGGAGGTTACTGTTAAATGTGAATGTGACTTTCACTGCTGGTTATGGCATACAAGATTAAGATCATTTCTACTACTTGAATCAAGCAGGAAATGTGAATAAAATATGGAAAGCTTCCGTTGAAAACTTCAGGTAGTTATCAAAGAGCAAGGTCTTGAAAAGCCAAAATCCCAAAGAATGGAAAACGCAGACATAAACCCAACACTACTTTTCTCATCAAAGCATTTGCCAATTTACAAGCAAGTGATAGAGAGTGAGAAGGTGTCATTGACTTCGCCCAGAGACTTTAAGTAACTACCCTACACACTTTCTTTTCAATACACGACTGAACGGTTCAGTGGTTCATTTTTATACCCTTGACTGTCTTTCCTGGCTAGTCATTTTGATTCCACAGCTTAGCACATCATATTATATCAAACATATCACAGCCACTTGTGATCACAGGTAAGAATGATTTGCCTTTCCACAGCCTTTGGGCTGTCTCATGGAGCTGAAGAAAAATACATGCATTCAGGGGCACTAAGGAAAAGGTCCATAGTAAAAATCCAGATCTTTAGTGGAGATCCCTGAAGGACTAGAAGAGTAAGGGCTTACCAGAAATATTCTGGTCTCATAAGGACTGATGCTCAACTTTGAAGGGGCTTAGCTGCACGGTGTTAAAGTAATCTGTCCTGTACTAACTGCCAAAAAAATAAAGTAAACTGACTTGCAGGAAGAAAACATTATCTACATCCTCAAAGTACTTTGGTACTTTGTAAACCATGTCCAATATTTTATTTAAAAAAATCATCTAGCATGCAAAGAAACATGACCAATGAATAAAAATCTACAGGAAATAGAAAGAAAATAGGTGATAGAGACAGACCCATAAGACGTGTAGATATTGGAGTTATTGGTCACAACATTTAAAATAACTGTTATTAATATAGTCAAGGAAACAGATGATACAGTTAATTTCATAGGTAATTAAATCTATCTTAAAAAACTGGATACTCTAAAATTGAAAAATGCATTATAATGAACAGTTGGTAACTTGAGAAAAAGAACTTTAAAAAATATTCTTTTTGTATTTTGACTGAATTCTAAGCAAACTCTATCTTTGAAGTTAATTAAAATATACAGCTGTGTAACAATAAGGGCCTATAGTTTAAAACAGAATTTCGAATCTTTAGTTAAACAACACAGGAGCTACAACCTCAGGAAAAATAACTTAATTATTTAAGGGAATCCATGCCTCCACAAGTCTTCTCTCCAATATGATTCTAGAAAACAACAGGGTATTGGTGAAGAAACATTGACTATTATGAGCAAATCTGTGTTCATTCTTATTTTAAGCAGCAGTCGTACTTCCCTATTTCAATCCCACTCTAAACAAGATTGTTACAACTGTAAATGCATTTTCTTATTTATTGATCATTCATCATTTAGTTTGCACTACAAAAAAAATCATGCTATTGAAGAAAAGGCAATATTTGCAGCATGAAAGGACTGGAGGTCATGTACGTGCTTAGCATGGTTGGCACATTTAAATACTGAGATAAATTGAATGAGGGCATTGAAAATGAAATTTACCTAACTGAATTCATTCAATCCATTACTACTTTTAAAGTAAAATTTAATTGTAATTAAAATTTACAATTTTAAAACAAGTCCCAAATTGGTGGTGGGTTTTGTGTAAATCAGAATTTTTCTTCTTATTCACGTAAAACATAATGAAACAAAACAAAGCTGGTGTTAGCCTATTAGAAGAAACTTATTACAGAAAGAATTACACTTACTTCCCTATCTATAATTCAGTAAGTTTAGCTTGGACAGGAATAGAACATTTTACTCCTTG